GAGCGCATTCTCAACGAATTAAGCCAGGCTTTACAAAGCCGGTGACCTAAAAATGGCGGACGTACATGAAAGAAAAACCGCCTAATCTTTTAATAGTCTCTCCGCCTCTCACACGCCTCCCCACACGTCGTCCCTGCGGGGTACAGTAATTAAATCTCGGCTCCGAACATTAATATTTCCGTGAATATCTCTGGTGATATTATCTCCGTAGATAGTCGATTCATTGCTGCTCTACGGGCCAAATTATTCCTTTTTCGTCTCTGTTTTCAAAGATAATAGAACAGAAGAGCTTTTTTCCTTCGATCGCCTTCAGCCGCCATGCTTTCTTCACCACGAGTTTAACTGATGAGCATGCGCACTTAATATTTCTCAGGTAGCTTCCGCATGGCGAACGGAGACGCGATTTAATTAGTGTACCCCGCAGGGACGACGTGTGGGGAGGCGGAGAGACTATTAAAAGATTAGGCGGTTTTTCTTTCATGTACGTCCGCCATTTTTAGGTCACCAGCTTTGTAAAGCCTGGCTTAATTCGTTGAGAATGCGCTCTTAAACACTCACTTTCATTGTCTTAATACAAGTGCCTCTTTCACAACAAGTGTAACCCTGACTTAAAAACAATTATAGCCCAACCTAAAGCCCATTGCTTGACCACAAGCTGGACACCCCGGGTTTAGTAATACCACTTGCTATTCAAATACATGACAGAAGCTTCAGTTCAACAGAGAGATACAGATCTGCGTGAAGGGTCCAAGTCCACCGAAATCTGAGCATTACTGCCAACCATACTTTTGTACCATTCTTTGGAATGCAAACTTTGCTTCTTCCTCTGTGTAGGCGTTGTCGGGTCTGGCATCAAGACGAGTGTTACCATCACTCATAATCTCTGTGCGGATCTGCACTAAAATACCCTGGAGCAGAATGGCAAAGGACTGGTAAGTTTATTTCAGCAAAAGACATTTTAGTGTTACAGTCTATTTCTATTGGGGACGGGATTTTTCAATGGCTTTCATAGATAAATTCTCTTAAATGACCATCACATTAGATATAATGCCACCTGTCAAACATTCAAATTTATCAATTATGCTTGAACACGCCATAAAGATGGAACACGCAGTATCTTGAATGCTAGAAATTTTCTTTGATTGCCACGAAAACCATTACCATTGCTTTTATCTTCTACATTCATATTGTAAAAGCTACTGATATATAATTGGATTTTAGACTTTAAATAAATATTATTATTGCTGCTTAGAAATTATGCAATTGTGATAACAAAAATTCTATGTAGATCTACATTACATACAACAAAAAAGTATGCATAACTTTCATTCAGTTTTGTTCCCAGTGTTAAATTTCTTTTCTCAAAAGAAATTGAATGTGAATGTGTTAAGTGTACCTCAATGTCATTTGTTGGTCTCCAACCTGACTTTGTTAACAACTCCATACATATACTTCCTCCTATTGTTACGTGACCTAGAATTGAGAAGAACACTTGCCCCCTCATTATTGCATTATGTAACTGCTGCTAAGAAAAGCAGGTTTTAAGTAAATAAAGCTGCTTAAATAAAATAAAGCTGCTTGAATTCCCAAAGCTGTCAGGATTGCTTTCTTTTCTAAAGAGTTTCAAGGACAATACGGACATGAACATATATAGTTAAACCTTCTTTTTTTTTTTCAGTAACATAAAATATCATTATTGTTATTTGGGGAAAAGAGGAGGGGGGCTAATTATTAAAGTTAACAGATTTACCTACACATGACTGCTTACCTGTAAGAAATTTAAATCTTGGTCTTGTTACTCTAACAAAGGGAGGATGCATGGGAAACTCCTGGGGGAACTTCATTTCTAAATATACCACAGGCTGGAATTAATAAGGCACTATTACAACATAACACCTCTTGCATGAGATTAGCTGCAACTTAGGTGACATTTCTGTTTAAAAGACCTCTCATCAAGAAATATTTGTTCATTATAGAAATCCATATTTCTGTACTAATTTCTCTATTTTTACTTGTAAAAACAAAGGATGGCAGATTTACCTTATTTTACCCTGGTGAACAGAGCTATTATAGTAGAGCTTATTTTACTTCAAGTGTGATGTTTCCTTGGGCAAGTTAAGCTGCTGATCTTAGCACCTACTTAACATTACGAATATTGCTCTAACATGTCAACTCACCTCTCTGTTGTATTGTTTTGCAAAGTTTTCTAAATCCTTTCCAAGTCTTGTGTCCTTAGGGAAATCTGTAAGTTTCACGTCCTAAAGCAAAAATATCTCAACTTACTAGTAATGTCAGAGGCAACAGATATAAAAAAGCTAATTCAGATGACGAACGAGATTTTTTTACACTGCCAAGACAAACATTTACAAACTGCATAAAACTGAATTTTCATTTGATTTCAATCAAACAAACATACTTTCTGACACGAACCATTTTCTTTAAAACTTCTAAGTCAGCTATTACAAGTTTTACTATCTAGTAAATTTTTTTCTGGAAGCGATTTTTTTTCCTGATTTAGTTTATTTTAATTTAAAGAGAATTACTGCACCCAAATGAATAAATTGTCCCCTCTTGGTTCTCCTACCACACCAAACTTTCCATTTGCATCTTTCATATTTTTCAGATCTGAAAATAAAACATATAAAAGTCTGTGTTTGAGAATTATGAGGAAAAAAAACATTGCAATAAACATACATTTACTGCAGCTTTTAAGATATTCAAAAGTTGTTATCTTATCTATATCAAGTTAAACAAAAGCAGATATTCAGCTGGACGTCTTAACGTCACGACAGCATTAAATTTTCCTACCTACATCCTTCAGTGATAGACGAGACATAAAATTCGAACACCTCTCTTTATCCAAAGATTTTAACCACTGAATATCAAAAATCTTAATTCACTCAATTAAAAAAAAAATTCTGACTCCAACCAAACTTATCCTTCATCATTTTCGGATAAAAAGTAATTTAAACTTTTGATAAACTCGATAATTTCTTTCTTCTAATTTTGGCAGAAAGTATTACAGTAATTTCTATACCTATTCAATAGGGGAGAAGTTCTGAATTGTACATATACTGCATTTCTTAGGTCATAATTTCTTAAAACTGGAACATTGCTATTGCATGGTATTGGTTGCAAAAAATTCAAATGCAGGGTACTCTCTAGTTCTATTCTATGTATCTCTATATGACACCTGTGTTTCTTTGACTACATAGAATAGAACTAGAGAAGTTCTGAATTGTACATATACTGCATTTCTTAGGTCATAATTTCTTAAAACTGGAACATTGCTATTGCATGGTATTGGTTGCAAAAAATTCAAATGCAGGGTACTCTCTAGTTCTATTCTATGTAGTCAAAGAAACACAGGTGTCATATAGAGATACAAGTTTGTGATTAATAACTGTTCATATTGGCAAAAAAATGAATTTTCCTGGGGTAAAAAGCAATTTTCCCATACTTAACAATGGTTAATGAATCCATTTCTACATTCAAAGTTAGTCCCTGATTTTTTCTCAAAAGTTTGTTTTTTTTTTGTAATAATCTCTTAAGAGATAAGTACAGAGTATAGCCATCTATGGAGGTCACATGACCCAATGGCATGCACAGATTTAAGATTAATTGCTATAACGGCTGTTTTTTGTGGTAGAATAGAATATATTATATTATATAGAATATATTATATTTCTATTTATTGTGAAATATAGATCTCATACGAAGAGCTGTTATCCCTTTAAATTATGCACCTGAAAGTCTGGTAATTTTTGCCCATTGATAAGATACATGTACTGTATATCATTATCCAATACCTTTGACTAGCCTGTGTACTGCTACTGGATTTCCCTGGCCCATAAATTGTCTGTCTAATTCATCTTCTTCATCACTAAATCAAATAAAGATAGCATAAAGATCACTGGATAGAATTTAAATCACCAAATTTAAATGGAATATCTTAACATGAAAGTTGAGTATATAAAATGCACCTTATAAAGTGATAATGGTTTTGAAACTTTCATGGAGCAGTTATAAATTACTAGCAGTTGTAAACTTGTGATGGTTGTACTAAGTGAAGTACTGGCTCACAATGCATTTTGCATAATGTCGGGTATCGGCCCAATTTGATATTAACTCGACGCAATGGTAGCCGCCACCGATCGATTACGATTGCAGTTCAATTCGTCCAAAGTTCGAGGTTTGAATATACGCAAGTAAACGCGTGAGAGAACGAACTCAAGTCCCGTGTAAAGTTTCTAACTATCAATAAATATTTAATTCTGATGTGTAACAAGTATTACAATCGTCGTGTCTCATTGAAGTCTAACATCAGTTCTCTCGAATAACGTTCCCCACCTGGCTTATATACAGGTATACAAGTAACATGGTTAAATCAAATTACCGGTCGCTCCTCGACCGTCTGAATAAAACTTAATTAAATTAGAGGTCACTTGGCCACCTCCACACCTTTCTAAGCAGTGACTGATCAAACTGGCTTCGATAAAACAATGACAATAAACTTCATGAACAAGATTCTGCCTACACTCTTACGGAAGTTCTAAAACTGCATTAAGACATTTAGGGGTCCCTGACAATAATCACAAGTCAAACTGCTCTATTTTCACATATGTCAACAATGTCAATTCGTTCAATCGGGTCCAATATTGGGAACAGTTAGAAGCCATTAAATGATCTCAGTGACAGCTAAAAGAGTATAACACTAGGCAAGGGCAGCTAGACTGGATTTTGAATGGATTTTTGAAACTATGTTCAACCCCTCAAACATATTCACTAACAAAGAAAAACAGATTGCAATGCAGACCTCAAATTACTTCACCCCCCCCCCCAAAAAAAATTAATTAATTAATAAATAAAATATACATCATGCACCTTAATGTGACTTTGTTTGCTGCACTTGCTTCTCCTTGACAGGCATCAATGTCATCATCTTCGTAATAATTGTCATCGATATCTTCTTCATACTCGTCTTCATCTTCCATATTATCATCATCTGCACCCCCAACCGACTGAAAAGAGGCAATAAATGATTTTTCACAATTTTAATAATACAAGACTGCACAAACCACTGCACCAGGAATAAAATTACACACGCTATTGATAATTTAAAAGTGCATATGGGACAAATTACATTTGAAATGCCTCAAATTATGCACATAACATCTCTACAAGGGAGATTAACACCTGATCAACACTGTTTAATAGTTATGAAATGTTTAGAAAACGGGAGTGATTTTTTGAGGCATCTGCATGTTTTCAAGCATGGTACTCCCAAAATTGTGCTGATTGAAATTATAGTGAACTTACTGGCTGCAGTTTCTTCTTTGTGTAATTCAAAACTTCCTCCACAGTATGCTGTTTGCATCCAGACAGATAATCTGTGACCTCTCCCAGCATTTGAATAGTATCTTCTTGATCACTCCATATAAACTGAAATTTAACAAAAAAATAACATTTCAAATTTATAGTTACATTTCAACTTTACTAGATATATTGCACCTCAATATGAACAAGTTCTACTTTCCCTGAGGCTGTCTTTTCTTGCAAACTGACTTCCATAAAAGAAAACTTCTGTTGAATTACTGGCACTCTAACTGTGCAAATATACATGTAGCTTTAGACACTATAATATCATGGGAACCATATGGTTTCTTGTGCTCTTTGCAATATATAAAACATATACTGAATGTATATATAAAATATTTATAAAGATAAAGTTAAAATGAGAGTAAGTTAAAAATATGCCTTTAAAAAAATTGTATACGAGTTCAGGGTATATAATGCAAAAAGCTTTTTTTTTATGTTCTCTAGAGATTTAGATTGCTGCACAACAATTTTAGCATGCTATAGTTGGCAAACATACTCCTAAATAAAGTCTGGATGCTGCTTTTGGAAAGAGCCTTTTCCACATGCATGTCTCATTTAAGATTAGAACTGATATGAACCCCATGGAGTTTGCCATGTGTCCCAAAAATTGTGAAAGCCTTTTCTAAAGGGACATACAGAGCAATTTTAGTGAAAAATGCTACACAAAAACAGCACTTTCGCAACATCAAACACTCCAAATAAACCTAATCTATTTCAAATTCAATGTCTAGTAAGCGCCTAGTATGTAGAAATAAAGATCTAAAAATTGCATTTACATTCCACTATTGTAACATATCTTGCATGTCACATAACTCAGATACTAGCATATGAATTAAAAGTTAGGAAGCAGTGAAGGAAAACTGCTCAACCTACTTCCCATCAGTGAAGGCCAAGCGAGCAGGCATACCATATGACTGCCCTAATTTAACAAGTCATTGCAGTAGTCAGTTCGAAGAAATACTTTTAAGCACAGAAGAGAGATAAAAAGAAGAGAGCACAATACAAAACATGCACAAATAAAATTCAGTTTATAACAGAGGCATGTCAACAGAGGTAAATGTGATATTAAATATATGGAGACCTTGCAGTGAGACAACATCAAATGATGTTACAGCTACACTGGCTTGTTCTGGTAAGGTAGCCCTGATAGTATTAGTAGTAAAAGGTGCACATGCATAAAATGGCCAAAAACCGAAGTTAAAAATCGTGTTTTGATGAATAATATACACATTTAGTGGTGATGATTATTTAAGATACATAATTTTAGACACTGTTTGTATATCATCTCAACAACTATGGTAGCACTCCCCCTCGGTTTGTATTCCTCTTGAATAGCTTTGGAACGTATCAATATAAATTTGTATTCAATCATTACCCATAGCCTTTATTACAGATATACAATGTTGCAGTGCCAGTTTTCATACATAAAGCAAAATTTAACACAAATGTTATATTTCATACTTATAAAAAGATGGGCTTATTCATAACATTTTATGATAAAATAACAACCGACTGTACTTGTTTTGAAAGGTGAGTTGGTCAGCTTCACCTTAACTAAAGCCAGTATCAGGGCAGACAGCTGACTACTAGCCAGACAGGTGTTAGCATGCTATTTCTAACTAGTATCTATCTTCTTATAGTTACATACATGATTGCCATGTTGGGTCCTGTTCCACCTTGAAATTAGATAGCTTTCTGTACAGTTTATATGCTGTGTGCATTTTCTGTATAAAAAGACTGGACTTGGCCACACAGAAAGCTGACCTAGCTGTCTGAAGGTCTCAGCTCTTAACCAGGAAACTCCTGACTGTGTGAAAGTACCTAGGTCAATCTTGCTTGTTTATATTCTTGGACAATATTGTAGGGGTGGATCTTATCCCCAAACCCACTGTGATACTAATGATGTTGGTGACATGAATTATTGTGATAAAAAGCTTTATTTTCTGTTCTAAAGTCTGTCTCTATGTAGTTGAGTACGTGCCATAAATAACCAGACATCTTTGAGTCTTCCATCTAGCTAAAAATACACTTTGTAGTGTAAAACTAACATTTACAGGATTCTAATCCCAAATCACATAGCAGAATTCTTTCAGCACAGATCCGCTTCGTTTTGATTTTTTTTATACAGAGGGTAGGTTTCTTGTCTGGTGCAGCATATAAGGGTGAATTTAACATGCAAATATTGAAAACGAAAGTACAACTACCTATGTCATGTGAAGCAATATTATACGCCTGATAGCAAGTAACTAGTGACCAAAACTGGCACTGTAAGAATAATGGATGCTGCGTGGCTCTTTCAGGAGCCTACGTTGAACCAAATAAACTGAAGGAAGACTAAAATAAAAACATTTTCTGCTTTATAAAAATGCTTACCCAATTTTTCTTTTCTCTTCCTGGGCACGTCAAGTAGAATGTTACAGATTTTACTTTAAAGTATAAACGTTCATCTTTTTCGTCCGTCTGTGTGAGTTCATATCCATCGTTTAACCTTATCCAGGCTTCAGCGGCTTCTTTGAAACAATTAAAATCCATTGTGAGCCCTTTTTTGAAAATCAGACTGCTGGTCTTGTACCCAAAGCGGACCTCCTGCGTTTTGGCTTCACTAACCTAATGGACGCATGCGCGAGGATTATTAGCCAATCGCACATTCGCATCTTATGTCGTTGCGGTCTTATTCAAAAGGTAAAAGCATGAGATGTGGGTGTGCCTTTTGTTGATGTTTCTAAAATTTAAAGGGCGCCTTATTTGGTCTTAAATTGCATTTACAGATCACAAACAATCTTACATGGTCTTAAACCACGAAGATGACCATTACTGGACTCACTTCCAATTTTAAAACTTAAAAGTTGTTATGCATTTGTCTCCCCTCATGTTCTCCGATTGCGAGCAGGGCTAATCCTTGAAACTGGATGTTGTGAGCAGAGGTATCCTCCATTGTAAGGAGAGGTATCCCCCATCAAGTTGATGTTATATAATTTTTGATCTTAAAAGCAGATTCAGTACATTTAAAGACTATTGCTGTAATGGTTAAGACCGTGTAAGATCATTTGACATGTGATCTAAAATTGCACTTTAAGATCAAATCAAACGAACTAATGATGAAATAGTGCGATCTTAATTGAAAAGTAGCGCGTGTCTACTAGTTGATATTGGCAGTTCTTTTAAAAATGAAAGATGTCCAGTATGCAAGTGAGGTCGAATTTCTCGTCTTCGGCACTATGCTTAGTACATTTTACATAAAAGAAAAAGAAATGTAAGGATATAAAAAGTTCCCTTTTAATACATGCTATGTACCAGCAAACAGCCATTATATTCAGCTAAAATATTAAAATGTACAGGAAATATTGATTTCTGTATCAACCTCTTGAAATACATGTTACATGTCTGTTAAGAGTGTGTTTAAGACATTAAATGAAGTAAATTACTAGTAAACATTAAACATATGAGTTAGAATTAAAAATTATTGAAACATACATGTACTGCTCACCCAATGAGAACAAACTCCCCTGAATGTTCTGTGATAATATAATTACAGTAAATGCATTATCATTTATGCTTTTGCAGGTAGCATGTTTTCAAAGGCATGTATGTCTGCACCTGTTTGCCTCTTGGTGGCCATTCTGGTGAGATTTGGCCTGATGTTGTATGGAGAGTGGCAGGATAGGACCATGCTAGTCAAGTATACAGATGTGGATTATTATGTTTTCACCGATGCTGCAAGGCACATTATTGAGGTAGAGGGGATGGGTTTGAGTTGAATAAGGTACACCTGTCATGTTCATGGCCAAAAAGAAAGTCCATATACTATATATAAGAGTCTGTGCATAAGGTTATAAACAATTTCTGAGAGCCTTTGCCATGCAAGGTATTAACCAAAGTACCACAGTTGTGCAAATGAGAGAATTACGCAGCAATAATGCCAATGTGGCACATGCCAATTAGAAATAGAATTTGGGATGTGAGAGGTACCTGCATGCTTTTTTTAAAAAAGTATGAATGTATAGGTACATGAAGTTTGTATGTATATGGTCATTGGATCACCCTGTCTTTTTTTTTTTGTTTAACGTATATGCATTGGATTGGTTACTAAAGTGTTTGTTATTACTATTTCAGGGAAGATCTCCATATGATAGAGCTACCTACAGGTATACCCCCTTCCTTGCAATATTGCTGACACCCAATATATATTTGACAGTCTTTTTTGGAAAGCTCATCTTTATACTATGTGATGTACTCACAGGCTGGCTCCTATATAAAATATTGCAGGCCCAAGGAGTGGATGGCCAAAAAGCATTGTGGTTTTCATTACTTTGGCTATTCAATCCTCTGCCTATGACGGTATCAAGTCGGGGGAATGCAGAGTCCATTATGACAACACTGGTACTAAGCACAATATACACACTTATGAAGAAACAGTATGTGTTGTCTTCCATACTGTATGCTGTATCGGTGCATGTCAAGATATACCCTGTTACCTATGCACTGCCCATTTATCTGTTGCTCAATAGAGATTATCTTCAAAAGAAAACTGCAAGAAAGGACCAAAGAAGGCGGACAGATTTTTATGAGCTCATTATTCCCAATGCAGCAAGGATCACATATTTTGTGATAGCAGGAAGTGTGTTTGTTGCTTTAACTGGAGTGTGTTACTTTTGGTAAGGGGTTGATGCAATAATTTTATTTGTGCTTGCACATAATAACATTATTTAATGTTAAGAATAAAAGATTTTGTAGAGGTGAATGATGGAGAATTTTTGTCTCTACAGTTTTGTCTTTTTGGGATTGAAATGGACTTGCAGGCTTTGTTCCATCAATATTCACAAACTTTTTGTGTGTACTTTAAGAATTAACTAACAGACATAGGATAATATATTAATTTTGATGGATTTGTGAAACTTGATACTTGTTTTATTAATAAGAAAAATTGTTTTCATTGCTTAATGATGAGCTTTTGATTGAACATGATCTGTTTCATTTTTATCTGTGCAGGAATTTGAAATTTTCTTAAGGTTTACTATTGCTTACACTGAATGGATTGTATTTTGTAAGCTTTCAGCTGCAACTTCACTTTTCTTCACAACAATAAGACAAACAGAATAATCAGGGCTCCGTAACTCGAAAGCAACTCGTATTGCGAATAGCAACATCACACAGAGGCTACAATGTATTATATGGGGCGGGTATGAGTGAGTTATGGAATCGAGATGCTTGCACTTGGCCGCATTGCCTGATGTTTTCGAGTTACGGGGCCCTGGAAGCTTGATAAGTTCCTACATGTTTGATTAATGACAATAAATTTGTTTGATTTCCCACAGGTATGGCAACAAGTTTCTTTACGAGACCTACTTATACCACATTACAAGGAGAGACATCCGTCACAACTTCTCAGTGTATTTCTACATGCTGTACTTACTAGAAGAATCCAGCTACTCCTTCTATTTAGGACTGGGTGTGTTCTTGCCACAGATGTTGTTACTGCTACTGGTCTCATGGAAGATGTACCACAATCTGCCACTTTGCTGCTTTGTCCACACTTTTGTTTTTGTGACATTTAATAAGGTGGTGACTTCTCAGGTAAGTTAGGAGTATTGTTTGTGGTAAGTTCGTTTGTATGTGTATGAATATGTATGTGAATGCATGCATTCATGTTAGGTGCCTGGGTGCCTGTGCTTTAACAACAGTAAAGTTTGCAATATAGTGTAATAGTCGGTGCTTTCTTCACACATCTTAGTACGTCTGTGTATTAATTCGATTAAAATCCAATATTATATCGAGTCACCTGACAAGTTTTTCATATGAAAAGCAAATTTTGTTGAGACATCAGCTGTACTGAACTGAAGAGAAAAAGAGTCATTTTAAACATTTTAGCATCCATACAAGAGATATTGCATTATTGCGTGCAAAATGTTTTGCTGTAAAAATAGCATTTCTGTTCCTTTATTTAGTACTTCTTGTGGTATGGTTCCTTGCTGCCTCTGGTAATACCCCATTTAACCATGAAGAAAACCACAGGTGCTGGACTGGTCATTGCTTGGTTTGCTGGACAGGTCAGTCTTAAATTGCGATAGATGTGACAGTAGCAGATTTGGTTATCACATGAGTTATTGGTCAAGTTAAAACATTTTAACTCCTAGCAAAATAGATAAATAAATAAATAAATAAATAGACTGGCACAAGTCTTTTAAGTTACATTTCCACAAGTTGAAAAGCCCAAGTCTTAGATTCAAGTTGCTGTTTCACCATTAGTCAACAAAAAATGAAGTTTTTAGACATTTTAATAATAAGGTCAGACTTTTCAAACCATTAGTACCTGTTGTGAGATTTCTTCTGAACAAGAGTGCATTTGTGGTAGATAACAGACAATACTTTTGCAACTTTCATCCAGGGCCCCTTTTTTGGTCCGTCAACATCATTGCATGTTATTGAATTCACAAGACAGCTAATGTGAAAGTAAATTTACATGTAAATCTGTTGTATTCCAGGCATTGTGGCTGACACCAGCCTATTATTTGGAGTTCCAGGGAGTGCCGACATTTCTTTACATCTGGCTTGCTGGCCTGGTTTTCTTCACAGTCAACATAGTGATACTGCAGCAGATAATCTTGGCAAATAAAAGGACTAATGATCAGCTTGAATATTACAAGCCAGATTGAAAGGCGCTCTCTTAGTATGAAGCAGTATATACAGTGGAAACGACCAAATAAGTGGATCCCACTGGAACCACTGTGGCCTCCCAGTGTCCAAAACGCTGCAGCTGTGTGAATGGAATACTCCACAACTACAGGTTGCTAGCGTTTTAGGACCTGTGTTGAATGGCCCATATTGTGACACTTCAAATATAGCCGAGCTGAATAAATTACGTATTTTAAACATAAACAGGAGTAAAATTGTCCTTGCCAGGTGCAAACTAGATAACAACTATGGTGAAGACACAATCTTTTCAATGGGGAAAAAATTTAAATTTTTCAGACTCAGATTTTCTTTATCATTAAAAATTATATCTCTGATAAGCAGTTGTGGTGCTTTTTATGTGTAACTTAGAACCATAGTGTAGCCTGCTTTTCAATTTTGTTGCAATCACTCAGTAGCCATGTTCTAATCTTGAGAATTATCACTAAAAAAAAAAAAAAAAGTATCTATAAAATTAACAATTTTCCCCTTGAAAAGATCAAGTCATTACACTATTTAGGTTAATACTTTATACAATATATTTCATGATTGTAAAGGACAACAGAATAACCATGAACTTCAACTTTCTTGGTTTTTATTGTCAAAGAAAGCAGTAAAGACTCCACAAACATAACAAGACGGGGTTGATAATGGCATGAATTACAGTTAACACGAGAGGCAAACCATACAAAAAAAAAAACTATCATGGCATTATAGGTTATTGGAATTATTTGAAGATTTATCACAAAATTCAGTATATCTGTAAATACAGGGACATATGATGTACTTTTCTAAGGAGTGCTAACATGCAGAAAGGTCTTGAAGTAAACTGTGGAGCAGCACCTGTTTACACAGGAATTAAATCATTTTAGGGCTCATATTCATAATATATATTAATATATATAATAGTGAAAAAATAGCTACATGTTAAATAGTTTTAAGGTGACAATTTCTAAAGTATTTAAATCCCGCGACCTGAAGAGGGTTCACACACATAGTACAGATTTACTGGTATGCTTTTTTCTAACATACCAAATTAAACAAAATAAATTCAAGTGCACAAAATCCAAATCATGTGATGAAAGTAAAACTCTGGTGCTAAGAAGTGCAAAATAAAACTGAAAATTGGTCCTGTGCTTCCTGTGCTCTGCTAAGCCTCTACACTGTAACAGAATTATTGGCTGTTTGTATCTCCTTTCCCGAAAAAAAAAAACTAATAAATAAATAAATAAAAACAAATGTTGAATGCAATACATCTAAGAGACACAAGTGTCCATGGTGGTAAAAAAATTTAAATATCTTTTAAAAAGACAACTAAAGGAAATTAACTGTTCTGAGACTTTTCCAATAAGCAAATTTCACTCAAAATCCTCTACTGACAAATTGGCTTTGAAGCTCTTCATTTGCTGCCTAGAAACTAATTCATCTCATTCACATGAACTTGGACATGCATCTTTCAGGTTTTCTGCTTTTCTTTAAAATTTCATTCACAACAATAGAAATCTTTAACTACCCCTCTTCATGCCTCAACCATGTAAGGTAAAGCCATTAATCTTAAAATGTAAATCAATCACAAGATTTTATCTTGATATAAGAAAATTGGCCCTTATTATTATACATCTTGTATATCTATCATTATGTATCTTAACTCGTCCACATAAACTCCAGCCAATAATGTTCCCATCATGATCAAACTGTCACCAAATCAACTAGTGAAGAAAAATAATATTAATAAATAAATCCCTCCACACTTGGCATGACAAATATTTCTTGGCATATCTGTCTAAACTAAGTCACTATGACTACCCTAAGTATTATCCTGCTTAAGATCACTGTGGAGCAATTTCACCTCTTTCCCCCCTTGTGTTGGTCCCAGTTGATGAAAAGCCAATTCTGCATCCGACGATTCTGGGCTTCCTCCAGCACTTGTCCGTGTCTTGATAAGCTGGTGGTCGGGATGCTCCCGTTTATGATCTTCGAGCATGTCTTTCTCGGCAAATTGTTTGCCGCAGGAAGTGCAGCTGAGCTGGAAGCCACCATGATGGCGTTTGACATGTATCTTCAATGTACTGTTCTGAGCTGTTGCATACTCACAATGAGTGCACTTGTATGGCTTCTCCCCTGGAAAAAAATTAGTTTCGCCTTAGGCTAATATCTTCATCTATCTTTACAAATATGATTAAGAGTAGAGGTCTAAGGATGTAAAAAATAAAAAAGTCAGTTTTTTTGTTTTTTTTTGCGTCTATATTCAATTAACAACACTGTTTCCTAAAAAAATTTAAAAGACAATGTAAACATTGACAATTTTGCCAAGCATACCAGTATGTATCCTGATGTGGACTTTCAAATGGCTGCGTTCCACTGTGGAGTAATCACACTGCTGGCATTTGAATGGCTTTTCACCTGAAAATATGGGCATTGCACAGTGGAGTTGAAAAATATCGCAAACACATCACTTTTGAGGAAAAAAACTTGGCTCATTTTAGTAAAGTAAATTTTATCCTAAGAAAATTTTTAATATCTATTTTCTTTAAAGCCATCAGCGATCTGGTTTAAAATTTTGACATATTATTTATGTTTAACAATGACAACCTATTCAAAAATTACATCTTAAAGTAAGCTCACCAAAGGAAAATACATCTAAATTTATTCACATACCATAATATTTAATAAACAAAAATATGAAACAAAACCATTTACTTTAAACAACACCATACATTATGAAACTAAAACTGTAAGTAAAACAATGAGCTTTATTTAAATTTATAAAAGCTACCTTGATGCTTGTACAAATGCTTCTTCAAATGTATCCTTTGGTTGAAAGAATTTCCACATTGGTCGCACTTGAATGGACGGGAGGTTGGGTAGCGCCTCTTCCTCTGTAGTGCTTTAGACAACAATGACCTAGACATCTGACTCGATGCCTCTCTGCTGCTTCTCTCCAAAGCTGCAGACATCGCGCCCTCTTTTGTATCATCAACAAATTTGCTTTTGTCTGCATCCTGCGAGATATCCGATTGATAGCTATCACTGTAGGGGGCACTGCTGCTGAGTTCAATCTGAGGCTGAAATCCTGTAGTCGAGGAATGCTGAGATACAGATGTTTGCATTGGTTGAGATTCTCTTGATGAGAAATATGTGTCCCCCTGGTGGTGCATGCTAGAGTAGGAAACTGGAATTGAATAAGTCGTACCTGGCTCCATAATAAACGACCCTCTGTTACCATTAAACGGAATGAATTCTTGGGTTGCCTGGTCCCCAGCAGTGGTTGTGGTATGAGCTGTGTGAGATGTGCTCATGGCAGTGGTAGTGCCCTTTACTGGAATACTGAAGCTTGAGGTCACCTCACTGGGATCATCAAAACTATCAGGGGAAGCCTCCCCCTCCTCCTCTTCATTTTCATTGGAATGCTCAAAGTCAATATAAATAGTACTGGCAGTCTGTGAGGAGAAAGATCTCTGAGAGGTTTTCTTCCCTTTTCCTGTCGCATGCATGTGTTTTGTCTCCATGTGCCTTTTCCTCTTTTTTGGAACAACTGACGCACAGCACTTCTTTGGAGAAAAAACGGTATTAGCAGGGCCGAGATAGTCTCCATCATCAGTCTCAACAGGTTTTCTAGGTAGAAATCCCACTTTCCCATTTGACTTTTTTACTATTTTCTCTTTTTTGTTAATAATTTGAACTTGTTTTCCAGTAGACAGTCCCTGGTCTGATAAGTCAGCCTGTGCTTCTTGTACTTCCTCGCCTAACCTTACTCTGACATCCTGGATCCCCAGACTAAAAGGTCCTTGATCCAGGTATATTTTCATGCGATGATTGTTCTGGGCATGTTGTAAAAGACTAACAGCAGCAGAGAACTGCTTTGGACATGACTGACATAGATATTTGGCCACTGTGATGTCCTGACCTGTGAAAAAGACAAGATCATAGTAATTAAGATAAAATGTGTAAAATGTAAATTCACTAAATAACCCCAGATGTTTGAGAGCTGCAATTTCAGAAATTATAGTCCCATACATAGCCTGTATATACAACTAATACATAAAATATTGTTGAATTTTCACCAGTGCTCAAAGTATATAGTAACTTCCAAAATTAAACAATTCAACACTTTTATAATATGAATGAAAAGGCGTGTCTTTCACTGCTAGCTCAGTTAAAAAACAATTGTTTAAAGAGACATTGTAACTGTTGAGCAAAAATGTTCATTACCTTAGTAGCTGGATCATACATGATAATTATCAAACCCAAGCCGAAATATTTTCATACCATAACTGACATTTATAAGAGGGTCTTGGCTGCTATACTACCTAGCAGTCAGTAACAACATCTACTCAAGTCAGTCTAATGAAGGTAAACATCCAGGTTGGCCATAAGTTTATATTTGGGCCTGCGTTCGACAATTATTATATATATGATTGTGATTGTTGCTTATTTAAAGAAGAATCTGAACATACTTTTTTCCATAAGGCATGATGTTTCAACCCTTCATCACCCCCTCCCTGTGATTTACCCATATATGCAAGTTCCTGATCTTACAATGATGAATCAGTCCTGTTATCAGGAGGCTCTTCAACAAAATTAACATATAACAAAATAGTTCTTACCTTTGATTGTAGCTTGTTGGTCCGGGGTATCATCACAGTTATATTTCTTGTGCTGCATAAACACCACAATTTCTGACAAAGGAAATTCAGACTGGCAGGAACCACAGGTTAGGTAATCTACATCTGGCACTGACATCATGAACCTAAAACAGAAACCATACCCCAATATATATATTTTTTTAATCTAAAGATGCATTCAGTAAACAAGTTTAGTGACAATAACTAACATGTCCACTTGCTTCAGATGTATTTTTAAAGAATGAAGAATACTTGTTACAAACATAGGTCAAGTTTTAGGTCATGAGGTCACTGCAGCCATACCACTTGTTCTTACAGTCCTGATTGGCAACCTAAACTTTCATACTAAGGTTTTAAAATAGTCAATATGATTGACAACCAGATAAACATATACAAGTGTGAATTTTCCTTTTTTAATCCATAGCCAAGGGTGGGAGCAGTATAAATTATAAATTAAAATTAAAATAAGAAGGGGAAAATAAACATATACATGTATGAATTTTCCTTTTTTAATCTTTTTTTAATTTTTTTAAGCCATAGCCCCAATATAGCCATAATTTAATGACTGTACCCCCGCAGGGACAACGCATGGGGAGGCGTGTAAGAGGTGGAGAGACTATTAAAAGATTAGGCGGTTTTCCTTTTATGTACATCCACCATATTTAGGTCTTGGCTTTGTAGAGCCTTGGCTCTTCTCGATGTGAATGCGGCCTAATACATGCAGACAAGTGAATTCAAATCAAGACATACCTCCGAGTCCTTGGCAATCAAAACTATTTGTGAAACCAGTTTCAAGCATTGTCTAGCTCTGATCTAACTCATTTGGAAATACAGTTACTTAATCATCTTAATACTAAGTTATTATTTTTACCATAAAATGTCTTTTCTATATTTCATTTTATTATTTGTACTTCACATTCTTTCTGGTTCAGGTTGCCTATTTTGTTACTTTTGGTGCAAATTTTTGGTCTGATAGTTTGCAGTCTTGGGAGTTATAGCATAATCACACAATAATAAGGAAAACCAGTTACTGTTATGAATGTCAATAACGAAATTAAGTGAACTGCCACACTCGAGTCAATAGCCTTCCAATCTTCATAGTGTTACATAATATCTGTGCCATATAGCTGTCCACTAGTGCCTCGCTCTCTAGCTACACAGTATCCGCTCTCACAGGATATTAATGGGCACCCAAACTTAAAACGAGATCGTTATGTGGAGAATGAAATCGTCGTCTGCACACGACACACAACCAATTCAATCCGGTGTCAACAAACGCATTTAATGCGGCAAAATATCTTCAAATCCACAAATTCAGCATACCTTTTAAAGATAAGGGAATGCCTTGGACACAGCTGTTTATGAACGAAGTTGTTAAGTTAATCACACTTTCTTAGTATGCAAAATAACGCCGTTAAAAGCAGAGCTCCTCTGGCAGTGAAACATGTCCGAAGTCTCGTAATCAAGGAATCATGGGAAGTGAATGGGGAGTTGGGGGGGGGGGGGCGTAGGAAAGTTTATACATAAAGTGAATTGATAAATAAAACGTTTCTGAGTCGATGGAAGCTAATGATCCAAAGATTTACAAATGTTTTGAGTAGGAATAATGGCATAATTTGTGTGTTTTTGAAAAAGAAATTAACCGACAAGATTTAGTTCGCGAGTATTCACGAGAGGTGAAGGTCAAACCTTAGAAGCCGGTGAGTTTTTGTTTTTATTTATTCAAAGTGTTTATGTACAGTTTATAGTAAATTGTTTTAATGGAATGATATTTACTATGACCAATGATAAAATTTTATTGCCATGCAAGATATCCTCCCTAGAAACATATGTTTATAGGTAATTGGATGCATGAGCATGGTCGAATCTGGTCGGATTGACGACCGTGGAATGACAACACATGGACAAAATAACCAGATATTTTCTCCATGGATATGCACCGGGTAAAGAACCGGGGACTGCTCTGTAGTGCTATTACGAAAAATGCCGAAAAATGCTCTAAATCGACTAAGTATTTTAGGACCTCTGAAATCTGGGGTTCGCTTTTCCAAAGTCTCATGGTTCGCTATTCAGAAGTGATCTGCAAAGGTTAGTTCACGGTCTAGTGATAAAATAGCAGCGCTTCATGAGTTGCATTTGTTGCATAATTTGACGTGCTCGGTCTTTCTTTCTTTCTTTGCCCTAAAACGTATTTCAGAAGAACGAACTGTATTTCGAAATAGCAAACCTTCAGAATGATGGCAAACCGTCGGAATAATTAAGTAAGCGCATCCAAAGGAATCATGCAACACTTAACAGCCAACATTATGCAACAATGTCACAAGACACATTTGGTACACATGTTCAGTAGAATATGCACAAAATAGCATTCATGTCAACTCTCGCAGATAATCCGGGAATCTCCCAGATACAGAATGAGTCTCTTAATAGGTCTCCCAGACAGGTAACCAAATCTCCCAGAATAAAGCGAGTTTGAAAGTTTGCACCACTATCAGCTTCTTAATTTTCGCCTAATTGTTTGGAGGGGGAAGAGTAGGGTTGAGAGAGTGAGTGCTCTCTCTTTCCTCCAACCAATGAACACATCGGCATGTTCCCCCCCCCCCCCCTCCTGCTTAGCAAAATTTTAGAATCTCCACATTTTAGATTTCCAGAGGTTGGCATCTCTGATATAGTAATGTCTCATCTATGCATTCGACTAAATAAATGCCAAATAAAGTGAAGCTGTTCAATTTTTTCTGTAGGAACACCAAAATCAATTTTTGTAGTTCAAACTATGCTGCTCTACTGTAGAAAGTTTTGTCAAAATGTCTTGAATTGATACACTAGGTAATTGAAAGTAGATATTACTGTACTCTTAAGTTCCAAATAATTGTACTATCTGAATAAATATACCATTTGGAAAAATGTTCGAAAATAAATAATTGTTCTGCCCAAATTATTTTAACATTGTGGAAAAATGTTTGAAAATTAATAATTGTACTATGCAGAATAATTGTACTTCATGGACGAATCTCTCAAAATTAAAAATTGTACTGTATGGAATAATTGAAAGGAAAAGATAGGAAATTCAATAGTGTATTGTAAAAAAAAAAAAAAAAACATTGCTTTGAAAAACATTTTTTATTTTTCAAAATATTTGCATTTTCTTCAACCCTGAATGTTAGCAGTGATCTAAGCTGATCTAAGCAAAAAAAAGTGATTTTGTGAGATGGTCCTGTTCTGAAAATACTTCTGCACTAATCTCAGAGGTGGCCAATTATAAACACTAACATATGCCATGTTTTAGTTTTCAACATTTGAATTTGAAACTATTGGTTTGAGTGAAACCAAAACTCAAGTTTAAAATACTGTCAGTTGATCTATAAATGAAAATAAAATGTTGATGTCTACTCAAAACAATATATGAAAATGGGCCCTTTGTTGGGTTGTTGTATGGCACGTGCTTATTATTTTCCAGATGGACCACAATTCCCAATTCTTCAGGTTTTGTAAGATTTCTGTTTTGCAAATGACTGGTAAACTCAAAATGGTTCAGAACTAGTTCTTTATAATTCAGATCAGTGTACTAGTACTTTTGCAGGACGGTTCTCAGAAATTATTTGTGCTGACAGTCTCTCCTCCATTCTGATAAAGTCATTCATTCATTCAATCATTCATTCATTCACCCACCCATTTACTCACCTATCCATCCATCCATCCATTCTTCCATCTATCCAAATCATCTTATTCATATGTTATTTATTGTATTTATTTTGTTGCTCTGATGGTTGCTGCATAGTTATCACAATTAGTGGCTTTAAGGAGAGGTTGGGGATATTGGAGCTCTAGTGTGCTCATTTTTTTTGCCAAAAAAAAAAAAAAAAAAAAAAAAAGAAAGTTGAATGAATGAACATATAAAACAAGCGTAATTAGCAAGTATAAGTTGATGATGGATTTTGTATTGCAAAAGTGACTAATTAACAAGCCTTACATTTACATTAGCAGTCAGTCCCTAATGATCTATACTTTATGCAGTGAATTAAGATTAATAGTTTTGTATTAAATGTAAATTAATTTAGTCACTGAACACTAAAGGTTTAAAGAATGTATGTTAGGCAGTAAATAAAGAGTTTTTATCAAACACCTACAGTATCCTTAAGGATTCAGTATACTTATTAAATTTTGTCTTTTTAGCACTGAAAGCAATCATTTTCTTATCCAGTGAGCATTCAGAGTGTTTAAATCTAGCTAGCTAGACAGATGTTTTAAACTAAAAGTATTGGAAGAAAGATTTTAATTTACCTATGTATTATGGGCCTGATTTTTTTTTTTCACCAGAAAGTTGATAATCATGGGTTGCATTTCCATTGAAGCTATGGCAGTTTAACTTACTATGTATTTCAGATTACTATTTTGCAATCTAAGGAACTGTGCATCTAAATGAAACTATAGTTCTACATAGATCGATCCAACTCTGCTGCGGGGGATTCTTGCTTAAGTCCAATCAGTAGAATCAGCTTAATCAACACACGGTTGTTAATTACAGTCACACTCAGCTGTCACCTTGATTGGTTAGAAATGATTGTCGTAAAATTGCCACATTATTTAAAATATTTTATTGACTCTATAGGAGCCTATGGGGATTTAATGACAGTCGTTTTGAATACTTTTTTTTTTACTTTATGGTAGACTGTATGGCACTCTAAGATTGTTTTATGTGGTTTTAAACGTTATGCCCATTTTTTAAATCATGTAGCAATTTTTACAACAAATGTTTCTAACCAATCAAGTTGACAGCCAAGAGTCATTACGGTCCCCTAGCTGCTTGAGTAGGCATGTCAGACAATGAGGCTGATTCCACTGATTGCACTAGCGAGAATCCCCTGCAGAAATGGACGAACCCAGCTGGTGTGAATCTGAATGTAGTCTAAGACGACATTTTGTAAAAAGTTGAAAAGGCCCATTGTCTGCTTGGACAGTGCTACAAGTACTTGCAAAGTTGGTCCGTTTCAACTTAAGTGGAGATGCGCCTCCAGTTGCCATAGCAAACTCAGGTGGTTACACAGATTTACAGCATCTGACTTAACGAATTATAAAACAAAAACCAACGGAAGCAGGATGATAAATAATGAGACCCTCTCAATCCACAGGTGCATAGGATGGTTTAATGATGCCAAATATTCAACAGCTTGTATTTAATGTTACATCAAAGGTACATTGATTTAAAGGAAAACAGGTGAGAAAATTTCAATGGAATACATCAACAGGATCATTTATTATTGATATTAAGGCCCTTATGCAGGATTATTAGTTTAATGCTGAGGCAATGCATGTTAAGGGCCCTTGTTTAGCATACCAGTGCCCCTGATGTTATAAGCAGTATGGTGCACTGATTAAAGGAAAAATCAATAGTTGCAGCAGGTGATGGTTTGGGATTCTATTGAAAAAGAAACCACAAGTTCTTTTGGTAATTGGGGGTAGATTTTTCTTTTCTTTTTTTTTTTCTCCTTGTTAACATTAATGAACATCAGAAATTGGACTTTGTAGAATGTGTGTTAACAAGGAATATGCTGTTGTTAGAGTATTATTTTGCATCGGTACCTTTAAGCTATAAGAGAATAAAAGAACTCTCTCTCTCAAAAAAAAAAAAAAAAAAAAAAA